AATTACACAAATACATGCACATTTATTGAGTGCTTAAATTGTCCTTGTAAATCCTGGACAATTATTCGCCATCTCTGCACATATTTTGAGGTTCCATGAAAGACTTTCCCCCTCTGTATGCACACCCCACTCACTTTCAATCGTTGCATTAATATAACGTTCAGGACATTCTGCAAAAACTGTTATTCAAGAGTAGCTATACACCATGCGTCCGTTGACCCCCCCCCCCCCCCCAAACCCAAAACTCTGTTCCAATTAATCTCAAGCAGCCAAGCTTCCCGTATGGCAATCGAGATGATAGCGTCAGAGACGCCAATAACCTCGAACACCTTAAAGCTAAATGATAAATCAGGAGTCTGAACCGGGACTGTTCATGGATACCAACACTTGTACTCCAGCCACATTTCTGTACCCCTCCCCCACCCGCTAACATGGCGCCCAGGAGTCCACAGTTTAAAAAAAAAAAAAAAAAAAACAAAAACCCTAATAGCCACTGCAAGAACAGCACATGGGACTACATCGACGATGTTACAGTGTCCGTGCACACACAAGCAGCTAAAACTGGCCGCACGTGAGGCGTTCGCTTATAATGACTAGTCTGTGGACCACGCGTGAGACCGCAACTGCTCCAAACTTAAAACGCAGAATCCAGCACACAAGCTAGTAGTTACGCGAGGGCTCCATCAAAACAGTCTGCTGTAAGCATGCGCTAGCCAAACAGGCTAACGCGTGCAGCTTGCTAGTGTGTTTAGATAATTATCCAATTAAAGTTTGTTCACCTATCAGTATTCCTTAAAGACAACACTTAACCCAATACCCTAGTAATCTCACGAAGTATGCTGGTAATGTTTGGATATTAGCTTCCACTCCCCGTCCACTTCTAAGCATTGTATTGCCCCTTGTCTTAGCCAACTTAGTTATTTCAGTATGGCTAACTCACACATGCTAATTAGAGATCAGTACACGTGCTCCCAGGTGCTTGTAAACCCCGACAGCGGCGTTTGAATAAACATAAGAGAGCCCGCGCAGCTAGTGACAATTATGTTATTATTATGAAATCACAATGTTTTTATTGGCATATTAGCGTTAGCTGCTAACTCGGCAGCTCGCGGGATAGCAAAGGCGCGCGGCCTGCTAGAACCCCATGTGCTGCTGCTGCTTTGTTCTGGAGGCACTTTTAAATGTACACCACCGCAACCCGAAATGACTGAAAACTTAAAAATTCTACAAACAGACGGCAGACAGCGCGGGCACGTGTGTCTACAACTTGGGGCTTTTGCCAAAATTTTTAGCGGTTATTTAATTTTATCGTTTTACGAGTGTGGACCACTTCCCCGAGGTACCGACAAGAGGTGCAACAGCAGCGGCAACACATGCTTTTCAAATCTCCCTCATTCTCCTGCCATGGAGGAGAGGTTGCCATGCGCTCCTACAACATTTGTTTTTAAAAATGCGGAAACTTGACCATTAAAACGCTTTCTTCTCCCCTCCTCGCATATACGTTAGAGCGCACACACGTACCGAAGTCAACCCAGCGCATTTCACTTTCCCGACGTTTACCGCATCTCCCAAAAAAGGCTAACAACAGGTTTCTTGCCAACAACACGCGCCTTATAAGACACTAAAAAAATCCACCATCTTCACTCACTTGTTCAGACTTACCGTTTACCCAGTTTCTTGGACATCTGCAAAATTTAAAAAAAAAAGAACACAGACTTCACAGATTAAACATCGGCTAAGACGTGTAACCCCCTCCAAAAAGTGCACAACCATGTGCTACTATTATGATTTGCTAGGATTTTGGGAATCGTAGTAAGATTGCGAAAGTGGCGCGAGTAGACTCTCCTTTTAACCATGTGGTGAATGAAGGGCGGTTCCCAGCCAGCGTAGCGGAGCCTCAACTCCTTCATTAGCATAAATCCTCTACTTCCTCTCCAAGTGGGACTCTGAAGTTTCCTCACTTAATTCATATATTGTAGCTATACATACAAAGGTGGTCACATAGATAAGCCGTTTCAATAAGGGAAAATATATCAAATTGCCTCCCATTATAATCACTGGACGGGACGCCTTAAGGCTCTCTAAGTTGATTTTGGTGATGTTTACACGTGGAATAAAAATGTTTTATGAAATTTAATACATTCTTAAAATAATTCGATCTAACGAAAAATAAATGTATTCTATTTGTTTAAACTGGATGATAGTATACGTCTGTGTGCTAAATCTGTTTACTACATAAAACGTATTATTTGGGGAATTTTCTGGGATGGCTTTTCAGATTTGTAGCTGACCAGAATTTGACGCAGTGTAACCAAAACAGAACCTTAGAAATTAAACGAATAATAATGATGATACAATTTTTCGACTTTCCATGTTTTAGTTTTTTTTTGTTTTGTTTTTGATTTGACATTATTTACAATATTAGATAAATTTAAAAAAATATTATAATAGATTTATATCTTTAGTTTAATGAAAGACTATACCACCATGCTTCTGTATACAATTGAACTGTAACATTTAGTAACATAAAAATATTCATTAATGTCAGCAACAAGTTTTACAAAGGGAATCCAAAGGCCACCTACATGGCTCAGTGTCTTTTGCTGGGGCTATACCTTCTCAAAGGACATAAGAAGTGTTCCCAGCAGAAATGAGAGAATTGTCTTGCACATAGGTCAGTGTAGTTCACCTCTAACCCCTGGATTCATTCATGTGTGAAGTCACACAATGGAGGCACAGATTTTGAAGTTGCCCTTTCTGCTCAAACAGAAGAGAAATGCAAATGTTAATTTCAGTGACAGAAAGCATTGCATTGAAAACATATGAACGATTATGATGTTGCACTTTAATGAAAAAAACAACAACAAATAAAATAGATACAATAACTATTTCAAAGAGGTGTAAGTCTCACTTTAACTGTTATTTCTGTGACATATTTAACATTTCCTAAAATTCACTTTGAGGATTCAAAAAACAAACAAGCAAACAAAAACATGGGGGTGGCAACATTACAAATCAATCTTTTATTTTGTTAACAGTGTTTTTTTGCAGGCATAGAATGGATACAGCATATAGTGGAAATCTTCAAAAACTAACAACAGCAACAACTGTTGTTTAAAATCGAGGTGTTTGAAGAGAATATGTAGAATCTCATGTGGTAAAAATGTGACAGTGAGCTTGCCTAAGTGTAATAAAACTAAACTAAAACACTTAGAATTTACTCACCACAATTTTATAATTAAACTGAATCTTAGACAGTTTTAGTGTTAGGAATGAATCTTTCACAGAAAGAAGTTGTGTTGCATTTAAGAGAAAGAAAAACATCAAAACCAGATATTTTTCTATTCAACCAACTTTTATGTTTTTTTTTTTTAAATCAAATTGATTAGATTGGTCATTTTCATTATCTGTAAAACGCAAACAATTCAAGTTAACTGAACATGAATTGTTTGCTGTTTTAAAATAAATTAACAAATTTATTAATAAAAGAATAAAATTTTGAAACAACAGTAAGGAGGAGCAAGACAGGATCTATAGAGTGAAAAACTTAAAGACTTCAAATGGCAGCGAGTGTCTGTGCCCTTACATATCTTCTGATATACAACTTGTTTTAGACTTGGGCAGTACATTTTGGAATTAAGAAATTATTATGTGTAGAAATATTAGAATAAACACACTTGAATAAAATATGGGACATCTAAACAGGACAATAATAATTAACGTTGGTCATACCTAAATAAACAGAAAGGGAAAAAGAAAAGAAAAAAATTGATAGATTTTAAAAATAAAACATGTTTTACAGTATAACCTAGTTTGATAGCTCAGCTTCTCACACAACAAATACGAAAAAGAGTTACCCCTTTTTTCTTAATATTTTGCTTCCAATGAATTAAATGCCAGGTTTTCTGAAGATATGCTAAAAATTTTCTTTGAACATTGGATGTTTTTATTCATTTTCAGTTCCGTCCTGAATCGTTCCAACATAAAAAAAAAAGTTACCAAACTCTAAGGCTGAAGCAGTTTTGTATCTACAAAAAACAGACAACTTAGCAAAGAACTTTTAAATTGTTCTTCTGCATCTTCTTTACTAGAAGCCTGTCAAAAAACACAGAATGTGTTCCCATTTTTTTTGTTGAATTATAAATATGAAAAAAATCTATAAATAATATCTGCCATATAAAAACATAAAATATAAAATAGTATTTTTGCACTAACAAGTTGACTCCCAAAGAGCTTGGAACACAAAAGAAGAAGTGGCAGGCCTTAAAAATGTTAGAGCAGATGAACAGTACATGAAAGTTATGTAATTAACAAATAAGAAAAAAAAAATAGTCCAAGTTATGTTGACGCATAAAGTTAGTCTTACCAAATACTGACTTTCAAGCTCTTTCCCATTTCCTAGCAACGAATTAAAAAACAAGGTAGCTCAAGACCTTTGCACAGTACTGTAACCATTGAATCAACATAAAATATAAAAGTAATTATCACAAAAATTGTTGTATATCTACATTGTTTCTTAGTTCCAGAATCACATTTATTTATGTACTACTGGGTACTGATGTAAAATAAGATTTAAACATGAATGGTTTTTATGGTATGCGAACATCTTAGGTTAGGTAGGGTGTTTTTTTGTTTTGATCAAATGTAATAATTATTATTAATTAGTTTCAGTTAACACAACTTGTGTTATTGCTGATGTGTTCTCATTGCGGCTCGTTGAATGAGTAGTTTTGAACCTACCCAGCTGCCATAGGTCACACGCTGCTCTCCACGGAAGTTAGATCAACCTGCCATAATAATATCATATAGTCAGACACGGTACTTTTACAGGCAATTATTATTAAATCTAAGGATTAAATTAAAATGCGGCGTGCTAATACAGTGCTCTATATTTCAAATTGATGTATTAATTTGTTTTAGAATATGTATGCGTATAACAATGTAGCTGATAATGTAAAGTTTATTTTATTTTGAAAATCAAATTCACGAGTTCCGGTGGGGTTGCCGTAGGTCTGTCAGAAGAGTCGTTCTAACAGACTAATGCTGTGTGTTCCTGCCATGATTTCTTGAGGTTTCTCACCGTTGCACGTGTTGCTTTTGGATCGTAAAAGGTCAGTTCAACGATCTGGTTAAAATACATACAGATTTGTGCACTTTTAGTTTAGTGTAGTTTAAATTAGCATCGTGTTTCCTGCTGTCTCATTCTAAAACGTGTCTGACCTCTGTTGGTTTACAGATGGACAGACTACTTTAACATGTAAATCTCTAAATAATTTAGGTTTATCGTTTAGTTTAAACTGTAATTTTAAGAGAGAAATATCATGTATTGTAGTCAGTCTCGGAAAGAGCTACAAAGTGCATTATTATAGCCACCATAACAAAAAAATAGTGTATGTCACGATTGACAAGCAGCTTTATGTTTGTATCTAAAGTTTCAACCTTTAAAAACTAACAAGGAAGCTCATCTGTATGAATCTTTATCTTTTTAATTGTGGTTTTAATACAAACAATGTATAATTTATTCATTTGTAAGATATGTTTTTGCTTGGCACATTACTTGACTTGGCACATGACTTTTGTTTTGCTGTATTTTGCTATGTTTTCTAGTGTGGTACACCCATGGCTACCTGTGTGGTGTGTCGCTGGATGCCCAGGCTACGCCACCTCCCAGGCCTGAGAAAAGGCTTTGCCAGGGCTCAGCATGCGTATATCAAACCAGAGGATGAAGCTGATGATCTGGAGGAAAAGAGAATCTTGTCGCAGCACAATGGAGTATGTTTAGAAGGTTACAGGCTCCGTTACAGCCCTTCTTCATATCATCACTCTGCATTGAACTCTGCAGCCTCCCATAGCCAAACAGACAACGATGAAGATGAGCAGTGTCTACCCACTCTCGCACCTTCTTTCTGGCAACGGAGCAATCGCTACAGTGTGAGTTGCTCACGACACCTCTCCAGCTCAAAGAACACTCTTCTGGACTTGGCTTTCAATAAAAGCTCTGAACCAGAGATCCCCTCAGCGTCCTCTTACCAGAGAAAACCTGTACTACCAGATGTTAAAGTAGAGACGCGTGCCTTCCACAAATGCAGACCAGAGTATGCCTCAATGAGCCTAGACCTTAACCAAAGACCTCACCCACTCAAATGGGAGGAGGCAATGCAGCTGCTCCAAAAAGTGGCTGTTTTAAAGGGCAGCATGAAAGCATCTGATGTGTCTCAGTTTCTTTTGGAGCTCAGTCGATTGCACCCAGACAAGATGCCGTTAGTGAGGAGTGACCAGCGCTTCATCATGCTCCTCCGATATTCCGTGGAACACCTTCGCCACTTTACTCAACTTCAGCTGCTGGAGGTGCTGCAGTCATTTGTGTGGCTGGGCATGCCCTCTGCCCACGCTGTACTCGAACTGTACGAGACTGAGCTGAGTTGCCGGTCCAGTCAGATGACTTTGCATCAGTTGATTTTAGCTGCTGATTTGTGGCGCTGTATAGGGAAGCAGGCACCTCAGTTCCTACTGCACCTCTATGACTCTGTTCGTCTGCATCTGGGACAATTGGGCGTGCCCGAGCTGGTCCAACTGTTGTATATATTGGGAGAGGGTAGGCAGTGTCCAAAAGACTTGATCCGTCCTCTGGAGCAGCTTCTCATGCATCATTTGCTACAATTGCGACCTGAGGAGGTTGGTGTTATATGCTTAGGACTCTTTAAATCCCAAACTTCAATATCTGAGAGTGCAGTAACTCGCATTGTCGATAAGGCACTCTCTTTTGTGAAGGAGATGAGCGACTTTGCCATGGTGAATGTGTTGAAGTACTTGCGTTTCAGTTATTTATATCACAGGGCATGGCTGGAGGCCATGGCAGAGGAAGTTCCTAAGCGTGCCCACAGAATGGGTGTCAAGGGGCTAATGCACGTGGTACTGACCTGTTCTGCTCTTCATTACAGTAATGACAGTATCCTTACTGCTGTCGCTGACAGAGTACCCTTGCTAGTGCCACACTGCAGAAGTAAAGACTCATGCAAACTCTTGTGGGCTTATGGCACATTAGGGTTTCTCCCATCACGGAGTCCAAGCTTCTATCCAAGTCTTACAGAATCCCTGAGGCAAAGGAAAGCTGAATTTCAACGATACCCAGAGCATCTGCTCACTGGTCTTTTAGGCTTGGCCTTTGTCTCACAGTTCCCAGAGGACCTAATTGCATTAGCCTTGAGCCCTGATTTTATCAACTTAGCACTGAAATGCACACAGCTTGAGCTGAAGAAGGATTTGTTCACTTTAGATGGAGTTGTAGCTTTGGAGTTGCCTCAGTGGACTGGCCCTCGACTGAGCAATGAACTTCGAGATGAGGTTACAGAAATGCTGTGGACGTTTGCTCAGTCAGATGTGTGCCAGAAACCTGAGGTTCAGGAGGCAGAATCTGCTCTGAAAGATCTGCTTGGTGGAGAGGAGTTTGTATGTAAAAGAATGATCCTTCCCCATACTCGCTCCATTGACCTGGAAGTGCACCTCAACTCCACTGGGCAGCCTGTACCTGTGAACCAAGCATCTCTAGAACAAAGCTCATCCACATTTCCTTCTAATCAGGGTTGGGGGAAATTAAATGTAGGAGTTACAATAACTGATGAACTTTTAGCACAGTTGATAAATAAAAACAACAACACAAAATCGCCTTTGGCTCAATCACCTAAAGTGAAGACTACATCTCTTCAAAGATTACGGCCCGATGAAAGTGGGAGACTCTTTGACACAGTGCTAGACTTGACCACTGATATTATAGAAACTCTGACCAAACCCAGTCACCTTGGGTCTTCTCGCAAGGACTCCAATGAGATAGTCAAAATTGCCGTACAGGTCTCGAACAGGAACCACTTCTGCTCCCAGTCACAGCAGCTCCTGGGACTTCATGCCATGAAGAGAAGGCAGTTAAAGATAGCAGGCTATAGGGTTGTAGAGCTTAGTTATCAAGAGTGGTTTCCATTGCTGAGGAAAAGCAGAGCCGAAAAGCTGGCATATCTGCACTGCAAACTCTACGACAATCTATAATGGAGCTCAGACCTGTAAGAGCCACAGTGAAGTGGAGAAAATATGGAGTCCGTTGCAAACTATATAACCATCAGGCTTCTGGAAAATCTTTACAGTGTGCAAAATATCTGCACATTGCAGAATAAAAGATGTTTTGTATTGCAAAGATGTTTTTTTGTTGAGATTTTTGTAAAAATATATTTTTACATTTACATTTCAAGACTGTAAAAACTTGACATGAAAACTAAAGCATCAGCTTTTCAATGCCTGGCTGTAGTATAAAATACATTTAACATTTGTATGTTCTTGTGTGTTTACTTAAATGTTAAGCTTTTCCTGATTCAAATCAATGATGATAGTCTTTTCAGAGGTCAGTTTTTCTATCTCAAGTGTGAACCTGCCCAGTTTGCACATTAAATATGTCACTGTGAATACGGAATTAAAGGCAATGCTTGTTTAGGAATCTGTATTACGACACCTGGAAAGCCAAAACTTGTTATATAACTTAATAAAGACAGGATTAAAATGGGATGCCACAACCTTTTAGCAAATGAAAACCAAAAATAACAGCATTTTATGTCTAACATGTTTTTTCAAATTCAAACATGGATCTGGGTCTTCTTTCATTTCCTTAGCAAAGCTAACATGCTTGCATGTTCTGCTCATGCAAGCAGCTTGTTTATTCAAGACCATTGTGACAGTGAATTAAAGTGTTCAAGGATTCAAGGGTTTTTATTGTCATTTCAACACATCTGTTCACATGAGGTCAAACAGAATTTTAGGTCCCATTTAAAGCCAACAAGAATAAATACACAACAGGAGAAATACATACAAAAACAAATGCTAGAAACATTTACAGTGTAAATTAAGTGGAAACAAAAACATGACAGTAGGAAATTCAGCTATGATTCATTCATCATGTGGGCGATGTCATTATCTTTTGCATCTTTGGTGAGTTTTTTTAAAGAACGCCTCATGTTGGATATCATTTTCTATAATGTTGTAGTTCAACTTTAAAAAAAACAACAACTTTAAAGTAAAATTTAAACAAAGTTCAAAAGATTAACAAGACAAACTGGCATCATTAAATGATGATGGACCTAAACTGTCAATAAAATACACTTTATTTTTTGAAAGTGAGTGAAGACCTTGAATGAAATTAACCTGTATGGATAGAACATTAAGTACAGTTATGTAAAAGATGAGTAAGTCAAAATGTATAGCCTTTAGCTGCTCAGCAATTGCTTAATAACTATGAAATCAACTATATTCACTTGCTTTTAAGCCACGATTTGTGCAACCACCTTCCTGATTGGCTTAAAAACGACATTTTAGAGTAGTAGGATACACCATTCTTAAGCATTTGCCCATTAATATGAAGAATTAATGTAAATCTGGCACTGCTTGGAATTTTCAGCCAGTGTTACCTAATAAATAAGTTTGAGTCTACAAGTCATAAACTAGTCACATAGCCACTAAACCTGGGAAATTATTCCTAATAGAACTCATGTTCTCAAATTCAGCTACTTTTGACTCCTCCGAGCTATCCTAAAATGGCTTTGCTCCGCAGGTCATGTTTGTTATTATGTTTTTTTTTAAGGATGAAAGAAATTGTTAGAACTATTTTCTGTGACACCTTTTCTTGCCTTGTAGCTGTAAACACAAAGTGGTGTAGCAGTAGTACAGAGTTGCTTGTGGAACAGATTTTTTTATTGCAGAGTTTTTACATTCCTGTTTTCTTTGCTTGTAACTCAAGAGTGTGTTTGCTACTGACAGTATGGCATTTCAATGCAATTTCCTAAATCCCACTCATGGAAAAACACTGTATGCATCACTTTTCACGGTTAAAAATTATTAATAAAACATGAATAAATTGTGAGTATTTTCATATTGGATATATGTTGTACGAATTTGCAAGTTGATTCCTGCAATCTATTGACATGCATGGAAAGCAGTGCAATGCCGGAAATCATCCCGTTTTTGCTTACATATCAGTGTCTAGGAACATGATAAAAAAAAGCTGAAATGAGCCCTTGTGTGGTGAGACTGCAGGTGTGCTGACCATTCTTAAAATGTTTGTTCCTTCCCGTTCTATCTCTCCTTTTCTTTGTGGCTCCCTGAAGATGTTGTTGGTGCTTTAATCTTGCCAGCTGCCCTAAACAAAAAGCCGCTTCAAGGACTCTTTGTTGGACAGTGCCAAAAAGAAAGGCAAAAAACCTCCACAGCTGGTTGAAATATTTTAACAGTAATAATTCCCAGATGCACTGAGCAGATTTAAAATTGAAGTGTGTGATTATCTGAAGTTTTCCGCTTCAGGAATTAAGGGGGAAAACAGAATAAACCTGAAGTGAAGCTCAGGCCACAAGCAAGTGCCCTAATTCCTTTCTCTCTCATTCTGTCACATCCTTTAAGTCACTTGCTGGGGAGAGAAGAGTGATATGGGGTGACAGGGGCAGAAATGAGCACTATAAAAGACAAATTCAATCAACTCTACATCTGTCTGCATGTGTGGGAGCACTTGATGATGTCCCAGGAGGAGCTGGAGGACGCAGCAGGCCACTCTTATGCCACTGCCTCCTGCAGGGGGAATTAGAAGTGAATGAATGGAGGGAGAGCATTGTGCTATGCCTGAAACTTGCCAGCAGAGAGCATTCTTCCCTTAGGAAACATCACATTCTGACAGAGTAGCAATCGTGCAATATTTCCATGGCAGCTTGATATTTTTGAGCATTTGAATATTTGCAAGACACTCACATTAAATAAATAATTAAAATACAATGTGTGCATGTCATAAGATCACTGGAAACACAATTTTAAAGTTAAAATAACACACAAGGAAAATGTATTTACATTCGATCAACAGCACATAGTGCTTATAACAATATACCCAATCTACACACCCATCAAAGATAAAAGAAGCACATTCAAAGGGAGTTGCTGTTCTGTCATAAGGTAGAGAGGAGTCAATAAATACCTTCCCTTTTCTTCACAGATCTGAAAAAACTATAAAGAGAATTCACATTTTGGGACTTTCAAGTCAGTGCCATGCCCGCAGCTACAAATTTCACAGTTCTGGGGTTGCAGGAAGCATGCTTTTGAAGTTGATATGATTCAGTTTCTCATTTAGCACCATTTTCTCTGGATTCAAACGTAACTCATTGGATAGTCAAATAAATCCTTTATCCATCTAAGGAGATAACGAAAATAATGTTTTCAGGTTAACCCTAACCAGTGCAAACGTGTTTCAGAAATAGGCGCTCTCTGCCACAGAGACACAGTTTAATAGATTGTGTGGAAAAAGTACAATTATTATCATCTTAGATTGGATGATTATGCACAATGAATTCTGAGTAACAGTCAAAGCAAAGTGATAAAAATTCTCCTATTTCTTTCTTCATATCTCACCAATAACAAGATATTTATTGAGTCATTACCCTGCTATAAACAAAAGTAAGTAAAGAGAGAATAATCATTAGGCTTAGACACTTTTCAAATGCAACCAGTATTTCAGCAGTTAATCGAGGAGGCTCTGGTAGAGTGAATGCTCTCTCAGTAATCCCGTCTTATTTGCATTTCAATTCTTTTCCTTTTCTCAACCTAATCCATTGCAGTCTGAAAGTAGCCTAAGCTCCATCAACATTTCTTAACTTATCTCAACATAGGCATAGTACTCTCTGTCTGCTATAATTCCTTAATTTACCTTTCAGTATAAACAGACAAATCCTAGTGTCACATATTCTTTAAAAATTGATGAATTACCTTACAGTTACTAGCCAAGGGAGAAATCTATTTCATAGACTCCAGTCTTGAATTGTCTCCTTGACATTGTCAAGTGAGGGGAATAGGTGTGGATTAACCAGATATATGCAAATGATTTCCCCTGCGGCGTTATGTCAAATGATCCCCATCACAGTTTTGAAAGGACTAAATACTGCCTGTGTCTTAAGTGTTTCTGTATCACTCTCTCTCACTGTCACTTCCTTTCTGACCTCTTCAGTGTTCAATAGCACGTGTGGCTCCTTGCCTTTAAGATTCCAAACACATAGACTGCGCTTAACCAACTGCTTCAGGAACACGGCTGATAGGGAGTGTTTGCATTCCCCCCTCGTCTCAGCTGCTATTGATAGACCTTAAAAAAAAGTGAACGAGGTGAGGGTTTGCTGCTTGGCTCCACATTTATTAGGAGATAAATGTTTTCGCCTGAAGAACACGGTGAATTTTGTTTGATGTGTGGTGTAATTTTCTTTATTTTCTCTTTATTTTTATTTATTTATTTCGTTTTTATCCCTAAGAAAATAAAGAGAATGTTTTTCATGGGCTATACAAGCTTTAATCCATGCAATTGCACGAGCCAGCACTGGCCCACGGACCATCTTAAATCGTCCCCAGGAATATTCTAAAACTGAAGCAAAACAACCCTTCAAAAAATCTATAAGAAGCCTGATTATGATAAGAAATCCTGAGACTAATGAATGATGCTATACTCAAATCCACTCCACTGTTTTTCTCATCCACCTGTGTAACAGTCACAGAACTGACAAGATGTAGCCTAATTTAATTGCTGATATAGATGGATGGTTTTTATGTTGTTCAACATTGTTTTATATCGTCATTGTAGCTATATTCCACGTTATGCTCTTTTACACAATGTGTGGCTCTAATTTTACTTTAGCTATGTCAGTATGGCCCTCTGGTAAAATGTATATTTCCCATCTCTGCTTTAGTTTCACATGGACAGAGAAAAATAATCACTAAACAAGAGGTGATACTATTCTGTTTCAGCCTTTGACATGACAAAGCTCTGGGATGCTACGATTTCTATTAGGTCAGTTTCTCATGTATGGTGGTAGCAGTTAGTTGTTCCTTTCCAAAGAAAAAGATTGCAAGTAGCCCAAGAAAAGATCCATCATGACTAGAAGGGCCTTTACAAGGAAACAGTTGAACAAGAGAAGCAAAACAATGATAATATGCAGCTTGGTTATTCAGTTCAAAAGTTCATCGGGAATAAACATTTGCAAAAAAACCTCCTGTAATTAAAGCATATGCTGTTGCAATTAAAATCTCCTTGATCATACAGCAGGGACTATTTTTAGCAAGCTTGTAAAAAAGCGTAAGGTACTGGGGGAAAATGGTTCTTTGTTTCAATGCTAATTAATATTATTTGTCTTCCTCCCTGTGAGAGATAAGTTCAAGATGACACTTGCGCAAACAGAGTTGCATAAGCACAACGCTGTCCCTCTACACTCATCACTTGGTCACACAGATCATTACAGCGCAAAGCAGGATTGATGCAAGCTCACAAAGTCAGTGGAACTGTACAGCAGAGTCACTGTAATACAGTCGCAC